CAGACCTCTCCTGACCCGCCCGCTGCTGCTCCCCTCAGCAGTGTGCTTGTCAGCCGGCCTGTTCTGCTCCCACTCTGTCTCTGGTGAAGCCTCTCACTGCCCCCTGCACCTGGGCCTGTACTCCAGTTCTGTGTTCATGAATAAATAAGTCTTTAAAAAAAAAAATGAGAAACTTTGAAACTCACTGCTTGCCTCACTGATTCCATCTTCCCCCTTTTGCTTTCAGGGAAAACCGCGATCCTGAATTTTATGTTTGTCTTGTTTTACTTCTCTTTATAGTTTTACTTCATCTATGTGTACATTTGGTTTTGCTTGATCTTATAGTACAGTTATAGAGATCCAGACTATGCTGTAGATTTTCTTCCACGATTTGCTCTTTCAATTGCTTAATGCTGATGACATTCACGTTGGTTGTAATACAACCCAGCCACTGTGGCCCTGTCGCAGTTCACATCTTGGCTGCCTTTGTGTTAGACATTTAAAATAGCTTCCAGTTTTCTCATTACAGACAAAGCTGCTCTAAATATTCCCGTAGTGTGTGCTCAATTGGTCTTTTAGCACAGCACACAGAAGCACAATGGCTGAGCGGCAGACCAGGCACAAAACTTTCTAGATGATCCACTTTTCCAAAGTGGATGCTCTAATTTGCAGTCCCACGTTGACCTACACATTTGCCAATTCTTGATATGATCAGATGTTTTATATATTTACCCATTATATGAGTAGATGGTGGTGTCTCGTAATGACATTTGATCAGGGTTTAATGTGCATTTATAGGATCATTGCTCAATTAGTTGACAGTCATGTGGGTCACTCCCTGATGGGGGTCAAACTCAGGCTGTAGCTGTGTGGTAGTGCTGAGACTTAACTCCAGGCCACTGGGAGACCCTCTTGTTTTCTAAACCTGTATACTGTATAACCTCCCACATAATCAAGCCATAGAATATTTACATCACTCCAAAAACTTCCTTCATGTCTCCACAGTCACTCCCTGTCCTCAGCAACCGCTGTCCCTGGCAGCCACCGATCTGATCTCTAATATTACAAGCGGTGAAGCCTGTTTTAGATATTCCTGTAAATGGAATCATGCAATTTGTACTCTCATATCTGTCTGGCTCCTGTCACTTAATGTTTTTGTGATGTACTCATAGTATCAGACCAGTAATTCATTTCTTTTTGCTAAGTGGTATTTCATTGTATGAAAAGTCCACAATTTTTCCATTGACAT